CCCTTGCCTCTCCCTCGCCTTCCCTTATCTCCACATCTTTGCTCTCTTTGACACAGTATCTCATGTAACCAAGGCTGGCCTCAAACTCACTATGTAGGTGAGGATGGCCTTGAACTCATGATTCCCCTGCCTTTACCATCCAAGTGCTGGAATTACAGGTATGACCCAGCACACTCAGCTGCAGTGGTAAGTTTTTCTGTGTCCTGCCCAGCCCCCTTGGTCCAGACAAATCTCTCTCTCCCGAAGCTGCTCTGACCCAAGCAAACACAAAAACAGAGGCTTATATTATTTACAAACTGTGTCTAAAGGCCTAATGGCTCAGGCTTCTCGCTAGCTAGCTCTTATATCTTAAACTAACCCATTTCTGTTCATTTATGCCTTGCCACGTGTTCTGTGGCTCACCGGTCTGCTGGCATGCTGTTCCTTGGGCGGCAGGCTGGCGTCTCTCCTCTCTGCTGTTCTTCTTCCTGTCGCTCTTCCATTGTTCTGCCTAGCTATAATCTGACTTGTCATAGGCCGGATGGCTTTGTTTATCAACCAATCAGAGCAACACATATTCACAGCATGCAGAAAGACATCCCACCCACCGCACTCAGCACACAGGCTGTTGTTTTTCAAAGGCTTGCTAACCCCAGAATATAAAATAAGCTGTATACTGGTTGGGAGATGGATTTACCTATTTGTTTTTTTACTGTAATTGAATTTCTTCATTGTTTATAAAGACATTAATTATAAAGACATATAAATGCCTCTTTAGTTAATGCTTGTCATTTCTATTCACCTGGAAAGTCACCCACTTTATGTTCTCAGGTGTTCAGAGGATCATTTGATTATGTGATCATCACATCTCAGTTTGGTAAGGTCAAGGGTTGAATGTCCGCAGGTTCAGATGATTCAGTGGCTTCTATGACTTTATATTTTCTTCCTATCTGCTATTACAAGCCTCTTTCATTCTTAATATCATTATTTGTGCTTCCTGTGTATCTTGGTTTGTCACCAACATATCTCTATTTTATTAGACCTTCAAAACAGAAGATTCACCTCCATTGCTTCCTTGGTGTTAAATTTTCATTCATCTCTACTCAGAGATCCACTTCTTGCTTACATCTTTAAGCTGACTCTCACTCAGGATCTCACTTTCTATACTGAACACTGGGTTCCAGGGTTTCTTATATTAAGTGGGCAAATTTAATAACTGTGTCAACATTTTAATAGGTCGTATCCTCACTGTCATTTTTCTGTTTCTTTCCGTCTTAATTTCTTTGAAAAGGAAATTGTCCAGGATATGATTTGTTAGTTTCTACAGTAGGTTTTATTGACATCTTTTTAGGGGCTGTATTTGGGGAGCCCAGGCTTTCCAGTATGCTAGACAAGCATACTATCTCCAAGCTATACTCCTGTGGTGATATATTGTGTACCCCAATAAAACTTACCTTGAGGATCAGAGGACAGAGCCAGGCACTAGATTAGACCCGGAGACTAGACAGTGGTGGCACACACCTTTAATCCTATCATCGGAGGCAAAGATCTGTCTGGATCTCTGTGAGTTCAAGGCCACACTGGGCTACAGGAGAGAAACAACCAGGTAGTGGTGGCACACACCTTTAATCCCAGCACTTGAGATCTCATGCCTTTGCTTGGAAAACACACATTCCTTTAATCCCAGGAAGTGTTGTCAGGGCAGAGAAAGGTATATAAGGGGTGAGGAAAGAGGAGCTCACTCTCTTGAGACTGAGGATTTCCTAGAGGTAAGAGCTTGTGGCTGGCTTGTTCTGCTTCTCTGATCTATCAGCTTTAACCCCAATATTTGGCTCCAGGTTTCTTTTTAATTATAAGATCTTTTAAGGTTTGTGTTACACACTCCAGCCCACAACTCTTTTAATGGTTTATCTTAAATTTTATTATATTTTGTCCAGAGAAAATATATCATTTTAAAAGTTTTGTAAAAAAAAAAAAGTTTTGTCTTATTTTATGAACTGATATCTGACTTGGTTTTTAAAAACTTTATGTCTGTTTAAAAAGAACAAGTGGCCAGGTGTTGGTGGTGCATGCCTTTAATCCCAGCACTCGGGAGGCAGAGGCAGGCGGATCTCTGTGAGTTGGAGGCCAGCCTGGTCTCCAAAGCAAATTCCAGGAAAGGCGCAAAGCTACACAGAGAAACCCTATCTCGAAAAACAAAAAACAAACAAACAAAAAGAACAAGTGTGTGTGTGTGTGTGTGTGTGTGTGTGTGTGTGTGTGTGTAATCTTTCCAAGGCTGTCTGTCCTTGTAAAGAGATGAGGTACACATCTGTCTTGTGTGGATCAGATCTAAATCTGTACAGATATCAGAATATGTGTGGCAGCAGAGCCGATGATATTATTGGTAACTTGGAGGTCAGAGGTGATCCCGTTGATTGCATTGCCCCTAATGGTCTGAACTGTTATTTGTTTATGAGACAAATAGGCTTCATTTTCCTTGTAGCTATGCTGCTTCCTGAGGTGACAGTGGTGATAAATGGGGTCCCGGGGGTCACTCGGTGGCAGAGGAGCCGCGGGGATGGCACGCTAGTGGCATCGCTTGCTTTGGATTCCCCCTCTCCTCGTTCCTTCTCTCCCTCTCAGGAACCGGTAACGCCTCCTGACGGACTGTCCTGACGGACTGTCCTGACGGACTGTCCTGACGGACTGTCCAGCGCCTGCTGCCCCAAGTCTGTGCCTCGCCACTGTTTCCCTTCTGTCAGGAACAATTCACTCTAGTAACCAAGCTCCAATCATTCACTCAATTAACTTCCTCCTTCATCACTTCTAATTAGCGTCAGTGACTTCTCTCCTGAACCCCGCCGGTTTACAATCTGCCCTGGCCAACATGCATCTTCAAAGAGATCTTTTTTTTTTTTCTTTTTAGATCAAAACCCTTTAAATGCTTCTTAACAGAACAGAGCCACTAAAGGTACGTTATACTGTGGTAAAGGTATAGGTTTAGTGTTCCATACGCATCAATTGATTTATATTCCCAAATATGGTATTATCAACGAAGGTGATGTGAGCTGAATCCAATTTTCCCCCTTTGACGCTGTAGGAAGGAGATGTAGCATTTGACTAAAGGCCTAAGACCCATGATTTAATAAATGTGAGGTGCTCATTACAATCTAACAAGGGGGAAGCTGAAAGAAACTAAAAAGAAAATCATCCAGAGAATCCAATCTCCTAAATTATAAACACAGAAGAGCATCTTCCCTCTCCAGCCAAGATCATATGTGTAGTGCTGAACAGCGTGTAGTTTTCAAAAGCCCGCAACCCTATCAGCGGTTCATATGTAACCTCGATATAACAAAATATTACATGTATTACATATAACCTCAGTATAACAACGTATTGAATTCATCTGTGTTACATTCATAAGTAACCTCACTGTAACAATCTCTCAACAGTCACCATAATGTCTTCTCGCTGGCTTGGTTTTGTAGGAAAGTCAAAATGTCCCATTATCCTTCGAATGAACCTTAGACATTGAATATATTTTTTACAGGGATTTTGACAAAAGATTTGGTAAAACTTGTGGTTAGCTTTTAGGTATACGATTCATGGGAGTTTTGCTATACTGTTCAACTTCTTTATTTTCTTTCCTTTTCTTTTCTTTTATTTTTTGGTTTTTTGAGACAGGGTTTCTCTGCGTAGCTTTGCGCCTTTCCTGGAGCTCACTTGGTAGCCCAGGCTGGCCTCGAACTCACAGAGATCCGCCTGCCTCTGCCTCCCGAGTGCTGGGATTAAAGGCATGAGCCACCAACGCCCGGCCTCAACTTCTTTATTTTATAAGCCAGATTTATGGTCTTGAATTATAATATAATGAACATATGTGCTTGCTTTTTCTGAACTTAGAATTGCCTAAGTGACTAGAATGTCTTTTGTAATTCATAAGAGTCCCTTTTGACATCCAGAATTGCTGTTATGCAGGGTGACTCTGGTGGAAGTCTCCAGGTAGAGTCAGGATTGGGCCCAGCCACCAGAAAGCCAAAACACGTGATTAGAAGATTGAAATTTCAGCCTTCATTGAGGAGAGGGAGGCTGGAGAGGGAAGCCAATCACCGGCGGCCAAATGGTGATTAATCCTGCACATGTAATGGAACTTTGGTATCAGCCCTTTGGCCAGGAGACTTCGGGAGTTTCTAGGATGGAGACACTGGCATCCTGGGTCGGGGACACCCCTAAAGATGGCACAGAAGCCCAGCACTCACCTTGCCCTGTGCAAATCCCGAATTTAGCTGCTCCTAGCTGGTGTTTTATAAACCTAGAATAAAATACAATCTCAATTAAAGTGTTTTCTGAAGCTTTTCAATGTCTTCTAGAGAATCTAGCAAAAACAAGAGGAACTCATTGGAACTCTCGACTCTGCAGCCAAGTGGCACACAGGTATGAGCAGCATGGAGACAGACCTAGGGCATTTTTATGATTGACATCTGAAGTGGGGGAGGTCTTGTGGGGCTGAGTCCTTAACCCGTGGGGTCTCTGCTAATTCTGTATCAGACAGTGTCAGAACCAAATAGAATTATGGGGTACCGAGTTGGTATGAAAAAATTAGCAATTAGTTTTGGGAAAAGGCATTTGTTGTTGGGGAAGATACCATACACGCGGGGGCGGACAAAAGTACACATGGATACGTAACACCTAAGGCTGGGATCCAGCTGCCCTCAGTGGGCCAGATGACGCCGCGTTAAAGCCTATGTCACGCCTATGCTGAACTGATTGCTTGTGTGTCTGTGAGTCTGAGCTTGGGAGTGTGAGATGATTCTTAACGTGTGTACATTCACTTTCTAGGGTAGATCTACATTCTCCAGACCTGAAACAGGAAGAAAGAGGAGACTGACCGACCTTCCCTCCCTCCCTCCCTCCTTCCCTTACTTCTCCCCTCTCTCCCTCCCTTCTTTCTTTCCTGTTTGTTCAAGGGCCCATTAAGCAAAGTTTATTGAGAAATAAAGAACTAGCTCCCTGCAGCCAGGAGGGGACATTAAAAATGAGTTGCCTGAGAAGAAATTTAAACACACACACACACACACACACACACACACACACACACACACACAATTAGGTATGAAGAAATCACAACAGATTACACATAAAGCACCACCAAATACTACAGAGCCTATGGCCTGACATGTCTCTATATAACTTTTTCTTTGAGGACTTCTACACTTTGATTATGTCCCTAGAAAAGTCTGTCCAATCCGTTTCTGTCTTGAGTAGACCTCACTGACTTGGCACACTGAAGGAAGGATAGTGCTGGGCTGGCCAGCACTCCCTCCACTATTGACAGAAATAACTGCACCCATACAAACTTATCCCACTCAACTCGCAATAAATGTTCCTGCTCAGATTCTCTTAGATAAACTCCCTGCTCAGATTCTCTTAGATAAACTCCCAATGGCCATGGAGTCTCTAACACCAGCTGAGCCATGTGAGAATTGTGAATGGGGAATGTCTGAGCGGAAAGAGATAATAGGTACAACTACAATTAAAATGTTTTTTCTTTTCAAATTTTGCAAAAGCATAGGATAGCATGAGTATGTGACTAGATAGGAGTGCATAAAATTGAAGGTCCTTGAAGATCAAACCTTATAGACTGTCTTAGTTAGAGTTTCTATTGCTGTGAAGAGACACCATGACCATGGCAACTCTTATAAAGGAAAACATTTAATTGGGGCTTGCTTACAGGTCTGTTATTGTCATGGTGGGAAGCATGGTGGCATGCAGGCAGACATGGTGCTGGAGACGTAGCTGAGAGTTCTACTTCTGGACTGGCAGGCAGCAGGAAGAGAGAGTGACATTGGGTCTGGCCTGAGACCTCAAAGCCTGCCCCCAGTGATACACTGCCTCCAACAAGGCCACACCTCCTCCAACAAGGCCACACCCCTCCAACAAGGCCACGCCCCCTCCAACAAAGCCACGCCTCCCAGTAGCGCCAGTTCCTGTGAGCCTAGGGAGGGGAGCTATTTTCATTCCAACCACCACATAAACGTCCCACTGTAGTTTCCTCTGCCAAGTACAGGGCCAAGGGCAAAACAGGTTCCTAGAAGCTTGAAACTGTACAAAGACTAATTCAGATGTGTGAAACTGGGGAGGAGGGCAATAATGTTGAAAGGGGCTGGGAAGGAGCGGATGTGTTGAATCAGGGATTACAAGTCAGGGATTGTCTATGTGCTTTCATTATAACATGTGTTCTGGGAGGGAAATAATAGGCTCCTCCAGTTAGAAACAGTTGAGTGACTAAATCTTAACAGCTCTGAAAATAGCTTTACAGCACATACCTCATCGTCTCTCCTTGCTGCCTGGAAGCAAGGAGAGGGGCTTGCAAATCCCATGGGCACTAAGGGGGACTTCCTCCTGCCTTCTGGCCTCATTTGGGAAATCCTCACAGACACTCAGTGTCAGGGCCCGGATGAGCGTCACCGTCATTGGAGACAGTCTTTAACAACTCGGGTATGATGAGGCCTTTCTCACCGCCAGATCAGGGCTGAAGTTCTCAGGTTCATCAAATAGAGATGTGAGAAGGAGCTTTAAAAATGTAATTGGCACTCACACGCACCATCGGGAGGACGCCTGCACAGACTGTTCAGGGAGAGCTGATACCAAAAGGGATTGACATTTCCAGAACTGGAGAGAAGAACCTTAGACTGCATGTGGAGACACACTCCGTCCCAGTAGTTTGATAGCCTACCTGGAAAAGAAAAGAAAAAAAGCTGTTTGTTTTACCTTTTCTCTTCTGGCTTAGACTCTGATGGGGCAGCCCCAGCTTGATAAGGGAAAAGATGTAGTTAGGTTGGGAATTAGAAGTGGGTGTCAGGGTTGGCTAATAAGCAAGTCTAAAGGTTTAGAAACTAAAGCTAATAAAAAGATACACGAAAGATAAGGAGTCATGAGTAGGAGCACTAGAAACTTGCCCAAGACAGAGGACAATTCTTTAGAGTGTACTTCGTAGTTTCTTCAAAATTAGGTAGCTCTTCCCAGTCATTTCAAATTCCCACATGAGAAGTATTTATTCTCTCTCTCCCCACCCTCTCTTTCTCTTTCTCTCCTACACACACACACACACACACACACACACACACACACACACTACATATATGAGACAAGGATTCACATAGCCCAGGGTATCCTTGACCTTTCTATGTAGCTGAACTTGAATTCAGGTTCCTTCTGTCTCCACCTCTGAAGTGTCGGGATCACAGGTGTACATCACCATTCTGAGTTTTCTGAGGTGCTGGAGTTCGGACCCAGGGTCTTTAGAACACTAAGAAAGCAGACTGCCAATTGAGCAACACCCACAGCTGTGAGACTGCTGTTGCTGGATGTCTTACCTTCTGAACTCCCTTCTTGTGCTTGGAGGATCCTATTTTCTGTCTTTCTGGAAACAGGGTCTGCTGTTTAAAATGCCACTTTAGAAGCAGACAATGCCAGATCTTCACTTCCCTGCTCTTCTGCTGGAAGCCGGTAAGATCCATAACACGGGCAAAACCCCTTAGGAATACCTCCTGTGACCCGGACATAGGTGCTGTGGAGGACACCCCACCTCCACACACACACACCAGCCGCAGTCAGCCAGTTCGTTTCTGTAGTATGAAACTCGTGACCAGATTGTAGCTTCCAATACGATGGTCACAAGTAAAAGTCTATTTTGGGGGGCTTGAAGGGCACTGAGAAATTTATGGAGTTCTCTCAAGTATTTAAATATGAATTTGTGCTCCATGCTTTTGCTTTAAAACAACATTGGCAGCTGTTTTGATCATTGATCCTCAAAATAGCCTAAAACTACTTCATAGCACAGGAGACCGAGGCCCAGAGCCTAAGTGCTCTGCTTAAGCAGCAAAACCCATTCAAAGGCAAAGCTGGAAATGAGGAGCTGCAGCCCTGGGACCTCCCCTTCATACATGATCATAAGAAGCACACAGAGAAAGCTAGGTCACCAGAATGTCATCTCCAAAAGGACCAGAAAGGAACATCCAGCATGAACGCCATCTAAGGCAGCCGCTGTGTCAAGGAAGCCACCAAACTGCAAGACAGGACCAGGACTTGGGAGTCCACCAGCTTTATTGCCTGCAGCCAAGCCAAGACATCCCTCTTTCTACCAGCCAGCTTAGACTGTAAGCAACTGTGAAGGCAGCCACAAGACAACTACTTATTGACTTTTCCCTAACAATGGAAGCCCTCTTGCAGGATGGGAAGACTGTAATCAAAACATTTTGTGTGAAAAAAGAATTTTTGTTTTTGGTTTTAGTTTTTCGAGACAGGTTTCTCTGTGTAACCCTGGCTGTTCTGGGACTCACTCTGTGGACCAGGCTGGTCTCAAACTCAGAGACCCGCCTGCCCCTGCCTCCTGAGTGCTGGGATTAAAGGCGTGTGCCACCATCACCCAGCTCATATGAAAAATTTTTCAAAAAAAAAAAATACATTTTAAAAGAATGATCCCTGGCTGTAATCTCAGCACTGTGGAGACTGAGGCATGAGGGCTGCCAATAGTTGGAAGCTATCTTAGGATACATGAGTTCGAGGCTAGCCTGGGTTACAGAGTGGGGCCCTATCTCAAAAACAAACAAACAAACAAACAAACAAACCACAAAAGACCTATGGCTTGTCGTGGCACTGGTACCAGTATTCAGGAAGCTGAGACAGGAGAATTGTGGGTTTGAGGCTCGCCTGGGTTTTATACTTGGACCCCTGTCAAGAAAGAAAGAGCTGGGCATAGTGGCACACACCTTTAATCCTAGCACTCGGAGGCAGAGGCAGGTGGATCTCTGTGAGTTCGAAACCAGCCTGGTCTACAGAGCGAGTTCCAGAACAGCAAGGACTACCTAGAGAAATCCTGTCTCCACGCCCTCCCCCCCCCCCCCCCGAAAAAAAAAGGTCAGGTAAAAGGAGGGAAGGAGGAATGGAAACTTCTGTCAAGGGAGGCTACTTATAGCTAAAGCAGTCAAGGAGTAATAATCAGGGGAGCTTTCTGGTAAAACCCCCCAGGACATATCCACACCAAATAACATACTCAAGACAAATGTACTCTGCAGAATCCACTCTCGCTTCCACAGAAGGCTGCAGCTTCAGGTGCAGACGCAGCTCTGCGGAGCAGCGTCACTGGAAGAGTCATAGCTCCCAGGATATCAGCCACACAACAGTAATGTGCGTTTAATGAGAATTTCAAGGAATGTTCCTTCATCTGGAAGAGGTGTGTCTGTAGGCAGTGAGTGCATTACTGCAGACAAACACCGAGAGTTCAGCTGTTGTGTTAAAAATAAAAGGTCGGCTTCCGTCTCGGAGCTTCTCAGAGACAGAGCACATTCACGGCGACACATAACACACGCTTTGGGGAGCTAGCCCTCTGGTAGACTATTTAAATTCAGGGTTGTTTTTTTTTTTCTGTTTCTAAATCTAGATTCAGATTTTGTTATTATTTGTTTTGTTTCCTTTCGTGAGACAGGATCTCACTATATAGCCCAGGCTGGCTTGGAACTAAATAGTGCAAGGCAGCCTTGAATTTGAGGTCCTCCTGCCTCAACCTGCTGAGTGCTGGGATTACAGGCATGAGCTATCACGCGGGGGCTTTGATTCATCTTACATGTCTGGCTGATAGTTTTTATGCTGTGTTCTTCAGGACGCAGGTAATACACTTCAGACTGAGCTCAGAGCAGAAGGTAAACACTGGTTGTGGTGGGCTGCCCAAGGCCGAGGACAAAGCTCAGACAGAGGGATTAGTTCATTTTCTTCTTTACAACAGACTTAACAATCAGATTTAGACTCACAGAATTACCACGAGGTTTTCAGGGGGCTCCCATGATGCCTAACATCTTAAGTTACCTCAGGACATTTGCTGAATTAATGACAGGCCTCGATCTGTTACTCACTGGGGTGAAATTCATGTTTCCTCTTTTGTCCCTTCTCTGCTGAGGGAGCCCCCATTACGTCGAACTGTTACAGGCTTCTCCTGGCTGCGACAGCTCTCTGTCATTATTTAGGATGTGCTTCTGAGGAGGAATGTTCCTCCAGTGGGAAATGCTTGATGTTTTCCTCATGATTCAGCTGGGGTTGTGGGCAAGGGGCAGGAGGACCCCGGAGACAAAGCACCATTCTCTTCCAACTGTATCAAGGGCACCCGGTGTAGTATAGCAGCGCGACTCACTACTATACCCATTTGGAAAAGTCACTTTTCCCCTCAAATCTTAGGTATGGTCTCCCACCTATCCATATGATCTCAGTTTGCTTTCTTTTCCAACGATTTTTTATATTTTTCAAAGTGAAATTGGAGATCAAATATCCAGAAGAGGACAGAGTCTTTAATGCAAGTGGGACTTCCGGTCCAGAACTCCTTCTCATGTAGGACCATGTATTGCCTTCTCCTTCCTCCCCTGACAAATCAAATCACCTCCCCCTTGTGAGACTCTTCTCATGATAGAATACAAACCAGGTGACGACTATCAGTAAGAGACAAGAAGAACCACCAATTGTGTCAATCACATTGTCCAATCCATGTTTTAGAGAGCTTTAGTTTGGCTAAATGTAGTGGTGATCCGTTTCTGTTGCTAAGCATTGCATTTGGATTAGGGAAGGTACTGGGTTTGAAAATGCGGAGTCTGGGTCTCATAGCGAAGTTCTTGGATGAAAAGATTCCAGGATGTCCTCGGCCTGAGCTCAGAAAGGTGTGTGCATTTTCCCGAGTCCCCTTTTTCAGTGAACCAATGGAGGGACCTGCTTTATCACTGTGCTGGTGTCTTGTGCACATTTCGTTTCTGTCAGCCGCAGCAGAGCTGAGCTATGACTGTGACTGCTCAGCTGTGTCTGTCTAAAGTCGTGTGACAAGGAAACAAACAGCTCGCCCAGATGAGCAAGGGCAATCTGCAGGAGAGAGACGCAAAAAATTCGACAGAACCCTTCTCTGTGAGGAGGAGACTGCAGCCCTAAATCAGACAGCTTTCTGTAGTCTCTGCTTGCTGGAAACAGTGGAAGGTAATACAGGCAAGTTTATGTAGAAAATTCTTCTCTGGCAGTTGAGGGAAAGCAGATTGGTTGTCTCGTCTCTCTGAAGATTATGGGTATGTGTCTTATGAAACAGGCCTGGACTAACCATACCAGTCAAGCTTCTTATTTCCCAATAATACACCAAAAAAAAAATGGGTCACTTAGACAGAAAAGGCATATGTATATAGAAATTGGATAGAGGGACCCACCATTTATTAGTGCATGGCCCAGCACTAAGCATAGTTTTTAAGTAGCTGGACATTTTTGAGATGTCTATGCAACTCACATTGCAGGGCACATAATAAAATGTCGGTGCACAGCCAGACCCATTAGGGTGCATTCTGCTTGAAGTGTGTTCACGCTGCTGTGGCGGAACGGAGTAGTTACAGCAAAGCCTAAGATGCTAACCAGTGTCTCATTTGGTTCAATACCATAGCCTGGGTGGCGGTGAGGCCTTTAATCCCAGCACTCAGGAGGCAGAGGCAGGTGAATCTCTGTGAGTTCAGAGGCCAGCCTGGTCTACAGAGTGAGAGCCAGGACAGGCACCAAAACAGCATAAACTCTGTATCAAAAAAAAAAAAAAACCACACACACACACAAAGAAAAAGAAAAAGAAAAAAAAAGAAAGAAAAAAGAAACAAAAATGTGTTTTCTCACAGTTCTGAAAACAGAAAGCCCCAAATTCATGTGCATGGTTGATTTCTCGTGAGAGTT